CAGGTGTCTCAGCGTCGATGAAGTATTGTTAGTGTAAGACAAAACTTGTGTGCAGAGCGACACCGTACCAACAACAACAATAATAATAATGATGATGATTTAAAATAATATGTAAAGAGCAACATAAATAGCAGCTGTAAATAAGAAAATAGGTGTGACCCTGTGAGGTGGAATTAGATCAAAGTGATGCCAAACCATGGATCACTTTTTTCCACTTGTAGATGCCATCGAAAATGAAACAAATGCCAAAAGTCGCCAAAATCACCACTAACGTCACAATACTCCTCACTATTGATGTGACGTTCTGTATCGAGGGTTCGAGGCGTGTGTCGAGGAGGGAGGGGGCGTTTTCACAATGCCTGTATCGAGGCTCGCTTCATTTAGGGGAGGAGCTGAACATGATGACGTCCGAAGCCTCGCTGCCCGGCTGTACCACGTGACTGATTCAGGAAGTGGTTCGGATTTTGCTGCGATTTCCATTTTCATGATTTTCAAATAATCATTTTCCATACTGTCAGTATATACACAGTACACCGCCATCAATACAATATACATGTTTTGCTTACTTCTTTATTTTGCTGACAGTTTTATTCACAGGCTTTCTGCAAAATGTCACACACTTCAAATTCATGTCAACTAATGTTTTTGTGTCCAGTAGACGTCCTGCTAGAGCAACTGAAGCTTCAAGAAGCTTTGTGCTAGACTGAACCAATTGGATGAAAGGCTTCAGTGCGTCATGAAGCTTCATTTGCCCATCACTACTCCTCACTACCCAACATTTTTAAGAAATATCGGTGCATCTTTTATACTGTAGCAGTTTAGCGCTTGTCAAACCACAGAAGTGCGCTGAACACTCTGAAGCACTCTGAACCAATCACAGAGCGGAACATTCGCTGAGCCAATGAAACGCTTCGATACACTGAAGTGATTGACACGCAGAGCGAAGCAGCGGGGGGAGGGACCGACACTTCCACACTTCGGTCACGTGAGCGGCTGCTGTGAGACGAGCTCCGAGGCAGCGCTTCAGAGCAATTTGTTCCAGAAAGAACGAGACGTGCTCCAGAGCTCCGACTCATTTGCCCGTCACTACTTTGAAGTCATTTTAGAGAGTTCAGGTCTTTAAAATGGTTTGCCTTTGTAGGTCAGAGCACACAGCCGACTTATTTTGACCTCAAGAGCCGCTTTTACAACATAAATATCTGTACTACTACCAGTGTTGGGAAGTAACAGATTACATGTACCGGGATTACGTAATCAGAATACAAATTATGAGTAACTGTATTCAGTTACAGTTACTGTTTCAGTGAGTGGTAATTGGATTACAGTTACTTTGTTGAAATAAATGGATTACACGGCGGGATTTTCCTGTTTTCACATTTTGGGCTAAACCAGGACTAAACCAGAACTAAACCAGGACTAAACCAGGTCTAAACCAGGACTAAACCAGGACTAAAACAGGACTAAACCAAGACTAAACCAGGTCTAAAACCAGGACTAAACATGGACTAAACCAGGACTAAACCAGGTCTAAACCAGGACTAAAACAGGACTAAACCAGGTCTAAACCAGGACTAAACCAGGACTAAACCAGGTCTAAACCAGGACTAAACCAGGAACTAAAACCAGGACTAAACCAGGTCTAAACCAGGACTAAACCAGGACTAAAACAGGACTAAACCAAGGTCTAAACCAGGTAATTAAAACCAGGACTAAAACAGGACTAAACAGGACTAAACCAGGTCTAAACCAGGACTAAAACAGGACTAAACCAGGTCTAAACCAGGACTAAACCAGGACTAAACCAGGTCTAAACCAGGACTAAACAAGGACTAAAGCAGGACTAAACCAGGACTAAACCAGGTCTAAACAATATGACACTAACAGTAGGTGGACATAATTTAAGGCAGCAGTGATTTCATACAGAAATCATTTCTCTATCAATAATATTTTTTATATGCTTAAGTAAAGACTGGGCCTTTTATTTTCTTTTAGCAGAGAAAACAAAATATCTCATGTTAAGATTTCCTGGTCTTTGTTCCTCTACAGTAAACAGTTGTCTGTTCATGGAGACTTGGGCTCAACAGACAATTTGAAGAGAACAAACATTAATTTTCAGGATGTGGTTGTTACATTCATGTTGTTTTAAAAAGCATAACAATTTCAAGTAATCCAAAGTATTCAGATTACATTACTCACTTTAATTAATTTAATGGATTACGTTAAAAACTACATTTTGGGGTATGTAATCTGTAATCTGTAGGGGAATACATTTTAAAAGTCACCTTCCCAACGCTGACCTATAGACATTTTGCTTAAATACATTGAAATCACATGTAGACCCTTTAATGTTAAAAATACTAACACTTGAGGAGCAGTTTTAGCCCAGTATTTTTTTTTACTTTTACTTGAGCACAATTTTAGACAATTAGACCTGATGCCAAATAATACTCGACGCGAGATTTTTCCAACAAAACAACTCCTGCGACAATGTTTATCTTGTAAATGTGCGCAAACAGTGACAAAGCTGAAAACATATTGCGAAAGACAAATGAAGAAGGATAGCCCGCAGCATGTTCCCATTTCCGCTACAGGTCCCATTTTTAGACAGTCATCCATTAAGACTGCTGCGCTCCCAAACTGTCAGCAGGGGGCGGGAGACAGCGCAAACACAAACTCACAAACTCCGCCGCGCTCAACGCAACACAAGAGCGAGCGCCGGTTTATAAAGTGAAAAGTCTGCGCGGCGAAAACAGCTTTAAGAGGACGAAGACGGATCACGCATGATTTTGTTCAGACAGAGAAGAAAGGGAGGGAAATGGAAGAAACGGTGCGAAAATAAGAATATCTACGGTTAAAGGGGCACTGTGGAACTTTTCTGCTCGTCTCCGTGGAGGTGGTAAGTTTAATGCCGCACCGTGAGACATTCTACGCAAAGCAATAATATCCCCATGGAAACGAGCAAGCAAGTGGCAGACTTTATTAAAAAAAAAAGGTAACACAGTGTACGTTTAAAATAACTTCCATACATTAAAGTGCACTACGTAACTTTTATACATTACATTTTATACTTTTATATGTTACGCTGTTTTATACTTTTATGGTAGTTATACGTTTAGGTTACTTATACTTTCACGTTACTTATACTTTTGCGTTACTTATACTTATATTTTTACGTTACTTATATTTTTACATTACTTATACTTTTGCGTTACTTACACTTATATTTTTACATTACTTATATTTTTACATTACTTATACTTTTGCGTTACTTACACTTATATTTTTACGTTACTTATGCTTTTACGTTACTTATACTTTTACGTTACTTATACTTTCATGTTACTTATATTTTCACGTTACTTATACTTTTGCGTTACTTAAACTTTTATGTTACTTGCACTTTGACGTTACTTATACTTTTACGTTACTTACACATTTACGTAACTTTCACTTTACTTATAGATTTATGTTACTCATACTTTTACGTTACCTATACTGTAACGTTACTTATACTATTGTGTTACTTAAACTTTTATGTTGCTTATACATTTACATTACTTGTACATTTACGTTACTTATACTTTCACATTTCTTATACTTTTACGTTACTTATAGTTTTATGTTACTTATACTTTCACGTTACTTATACTTTCACGTTACTTATACTATTACGTTACTTATACTTTCATGTTACTTATACTTTGACATTACTTAAACTTTTATGTTGCTTATACTTTTGCGATTACTTATACTTTAACGTTACTTATACATTTACATTACTTGTACATTTACGTTACTTATACTTTCACATTTCTTATACTTTCACGTTACTTATACTATTACGTTATTTATACTATTACGTTACTTTAACTTTTATGTTACTTATACTTTTACATTACTTATACTTTTGTTGTACTTAGGTTACATTTTATACTTTATGTGTTGTGTGACGTTTTATACTTTTTTACGTTACGTTTTATACTTTTTACGTTATGTTACGTTTTATACTTTTGACATTACTTACTTTCATGTTACTTATACTTTTACGTTTTTACATTATGTTATGTTATGTTTTTTTAATAAGTTTTATACTTTTCTACATTACTTTTTTATACTTTTATACTGGATGGTCCGCTGCTTGTCTCCATGGAGATGTTATTGCGTTGCCTCAAATGTTCCACAGTACGGCATTAAGCTTCACTGTCATTATCTCATCATTTATTCAGTTGGGTGTTTTTACTGCTCAAAAGTACTTAAAAAAAAAATGATTTCTTACCATGAGCAGGGTCACCTCTCCGCAGATCTGACCTGTAACTTGGTCTTCTGTCACACATTGCTTGTCTCCATAGAAATTTAATACCAGTCTAAGTAAAGCAATGACATCACCGCAGAGACAAGCAGGTTTGGAAAGTTACATAGTGCAGCTTTAAAATGACTTGAATTCAGGATATGATTCTTAAGTTATGAGGAATTGACAAGTAAAGATATATTTCTAATTTTAAAAACACGATTCCTTATTTCTAGATAAAAGCATTTGTAAAGGAAGGTCATAAAACTAGTAAAAGTAAAAGCGCTTTTCATGTTTTTCAAATTATGATTGGTTTGGTGGCATAGTACCAGTGACGTTTAACGAAAAAGGTTAAAAAATACATAAAGTAGAGCCGGGTTCTGAGACAAAAACTAGCCAAAATTTGTAGTCTTATTTGTCTAACCTGCCATATGAACTTAAATACTCCACACAATAAAATAAAAACATGTGACCTACTGAAACTACACAAATCCAATTTAATATGATCAATCCTTTTAGACAAAACTGAATATTCTTTTGTGCAGTGTTGCTGAGAGATGCATGGTCCCGTTCAGTTTTCCACAGCTCCGTGTTGGCTTTGTGCACATATATACTCTCAAAGTGCTTCCATAACACATTTTCATAAACAGTCGGGGGCTATAGAGGCTTTGAACAGTGGAGAGAGGGTCTATTTTTTTCCGTGCGGACTCACCTCTGGCCCCGCGTGTTCGGTCTGCGTGGTTCGGTCGCTCATTTGGCAGTCTTTTATCTTCAGGGCAGCTCTGGCGCTCTCCTGCATACAAAGCAAACCCAAACGCATCCGTCACGGCCACATTCGGCACAACAAATGAAAAAGGAAATACATTAGAAGAGCTACAAAATGCTTAGACGACAAAACCCGAAAAAGTACAAACTTCTTCGGCCAACTAAAGAAACGAGAGTGAGAGGGAGAGAGAGGGTTTTGGAAAGGTTGCATCGCTTTTATACAATGAAGGATACAGCGAGAATCAAAGGTCCTGGTTTCTATCGACATATTCATTAGCAAACATACATTTCCTTCAGTGCTTTTTCAGTTCCAACACCAATTTCGATACTGTTGATGTTTTTCAGACTCTAAAATGTGATGTCTCTCAGATGGGGTCACGAGTTTTCCCAATTAATCACACTGTACTTAAATAAAGCGTAAATTCACAAATGCTGAGTCAGATAATTTCTAGTTTTAGACTCAAGACCTCCTCATATTGCAATCTGCATTTTCAAAAATCCAAAAAATCTGCATTTTAACAATATTCATATGAATACCATAGAAACCATAGAACTATAATCAGATCTGGAAGATGGTGTTGTGTTGTTTTCAGTGGCCTGTGCTCATTGGCGCTGTCCAGACTGGCTCCAACTAGTGCCTCTGCTCAATTTCATTTCTCTCCAGTGACTAGGTCTGGAATCAGAATACACTAGACGGTTTGCAAGAACCCTGGAAGTCTTCGTTGTAGTCACACACCGACCAATCAGCAAAGAGCTGTGAAGCCATGACGTCAAACGTTATTGCCCTTCTTCCTACGGGATTTTGCACATTACATACATCACGACCAAATACCAGCAAATGGTTAAAAATTTTAAAAAGTACCTGCCTACTGCTGAGCGAACAAAGCCTAATGCTGCGAGGTCTGACGGTTTCCACAAAGTGAAACCGGCTGATGAGTCAGCCTACATTGGCACATGGGACTAAAAAAATATTTTCTTTTGCATTTTATTCCTCAATACAGGCAAGCTCCTCCCACCTGTGTGACGTCTGTAAAGTGCATGGCGTGGACCAATCAGAGCGAGAGCTGCTAGAGCGGAGTTAGCGCGGGCTCAGAGAGGGGCTAGACTAAGTCTGACAAAGCTAACTTTAAGACGCTTTGAGGATTTAAAAATTTAAAGTTTATGTTGTGAAAATAGAAAAGCTTTGTGAAAATAGAAGACCTTCGTGAAAGTTGTCAATGCTCTGTCATCCCAACACAGGCAGTTTGAATTCTCAAAAAATGCATTGTGCTTCTATGGGAGAATTTATTCCTGAGCTCAGGCTTCTGGGAGCTGCAGTACCTGGAGCGGCCACTAGTCGCTCTCAACCAGGCACAGAGGGGGGGTCCTTATACAGTTTTTATTATATATCCATGTCTGAAACCCAGCAACATCTTCAAGTATCTGTATGTTTGTATGTATGTATGTAACAGGAGTGACGTCGGGGAAAAGAAGACATCTAATTGGTCTATTATTAATGTGCATATATTGATTTAAGAACAAAATAGTGAAATAAAAAACCCCAGAATCACGTAGAGAGTTTTAAAACCAACATTTTAAGACCAAAATGACGAGTCTGACAGCAGCTCTTACAGATAAAGGGGAGACGTTTTTTCAATAGAAAGTGAACTGGAGTCAGTGGAGCCGGACGATCTCCCGTGTTCTGGTTGCGTCACCTGTTTGACTCCGTGGACACACTGTGGAACCTTCCAGACTCAGCAGCAATATTTAGAGTCGGCTGAAATGTCTACGCCACACACCGACAAGTCTTGACAAATGGACCATGACTATCTTCGAAGGTCTTAAAACTGGACCACGACATTTTCTCCTGACGCATTTGGAGCAGGAAGCGTCCGCAGAGTACAAGAGCGCAGAGAGATTTATAAAAGGTGACAGGTGCTGGGTCCGGACAGCGCAGTGGAAGGTCCAGAGGAGATAACTCACGGTTTTCAGCGCAGATTTACCTGTGCCAGAGACGAGACACAGCCCTGCTCCTCGCTCTCAAAACACACTGGAACCCAAAGAACTGACAACTCCTGATTTCCCTGACTGATGGCGAAGGCAAATGAAGACCGAGGAGCTGTGTAATGTCTCTTAGGTCTAACAAAAGAGATAATGGAAGTTATAAAGTATTTAAAGGTGCTGCACTTGATTGATAATGTTTTAAAGGACCTATTTTTCCATGTATTTGAGCAAAATCTGTCTTGCCCAGTAGATAGATTGTAAAAGCAGCTCTTGGGGTCAAAATATGTCGGCTGTACTGTCGTGTATCTAATTGTAAAGCGTTTTACTTTGCAGCTGATGTCGTCAACGATGCTAGAAGCTCTACTCTTACTCTACTTCTACTTAAGACGATAATCTGAGTGTCATTTTAACACAATCTGGTCAGAAGGAGTTGACGAAGTTGGAACCAGAGTCCTGCACCGGGTCAGGTACGGGCAAATAGCTGCTGAAACGGGCGGGTTTTAACATTCTGGCATTTTACGGGCGAGTATGTGGGCGGGTAGTAAATACACACAGGTGAGACAGGACTAAACCAGGACTAAACCAGGTCTAAACCAGGTCTAAACCAGGACTAATCCAGGTCTAAACCAGGTCTAAACCAGGTCTAAACCAAGTCTAAACCAGGTCCAAACTAAACCAAGTCTAAACCAAGTCTAAAACCAAGTCTAAACCAGGTCTAAACCAAGTCTAAACCAATCTAAACCCAGGTCTAAACCAGGTCTACTAAACCAGGTCTAAACCAGGTCTAAACCAGACTAAACCAGGTCTAAACCAGGTAATCTAGGTCTAAACCAGGTCTAAACCAAGTCTAAACCAGGTCTAAACCAAGGGTCTAAACCAAGTCTAAACCAAAAACCAGACAGTCTAAACCAGGTCTAAACCAGGTCTAAACCAGGTCTAAACCAAGTCTAAACCAGGTCTAAAACCAGGTCTAAACCAGGTCTCTAAACCAGGATCTAAACCAAGTCTAAACCAAACCAAGTCTAAACCAAGTCTAAACCAGTCTAAACCAGGTCTAAACCAAGGTCTAAAACCAAGTCTAAACCAGGTCTAAACCAGGTCTAAACCAGTCTAACCAGGTCTAAACCAAGGTCTAAACCAAGGTCTAAACCAGGTCTAAACCAGGTCTAAACCAAACCAGGTCTAAACCAGGTCTAAACCAAGGTCTAAACCAGTCTAAACCCAAAAACCAGGTCTAAACCAAGTCTAAACCAGGTCTAAACCAGGTCTAAACCAGTCTAAACTCTAAACCAAACCAGGTCTAACCACCAGGTCTAAACCAGGTCTAAACCAGGTCTAACCAGGTTAAACCAAGTCTAAACCAGGAAACCAGGTTAAACCAGGTCTAAACCAGGTCTAAACCAGGGCTAATCCTTAAGAGAGAGAGAACCCGGCCTGTCCACAAAGTGCGATTGGCTCCGCTTACCTCCGTGGGGCGCGGAGCTCTGAGCCGGTCCTTTCGCCTGCGGTTGGTTACCCCGACAGTCTACGTGGGCGCACCTCTGAGCCAATCCTGACAGTGAGTCATGGTTCAGTTCTGGTTCTGTTCAGTCCTTTTGTTCCTTTTGGACTTCTGTTTAGTCCTAATTCAGTCTTGGTTTATTCTTCTTGGTTCAGTCCTGGAATCAGTCCTAGGTTAGTCCTGGGTTAGTCCTGGGTTAGTCCTGGGTTAGTCCTGGGTTAGTCCTGGGTTAGTCCGTGGTGTGTGCGCCGCGAAAGAATCTTGATCAGTGTTTCTTCTGCTCAGTAAAAAATATCTGTGAAGTGATGACCGTCGAGTCACGTCTGTGAATTTGTGTTTGTACTGAAGAAAGCGAAACCGTTTCATTCAATTTCATGATTGTAATTCTTGAAGTTCTAACCTTTCAATTCGTATTCTGATGGATGCTTCAGTTACAACGCTTTTCATTTTTGTGTTTGATTACAGGTGGTAACAGGTGGAATGTTAACGGGTCTGGGCGGGTGCAGGTTTAACGTTCATAAAATTACGGGTTAATGGGCAGGTGCTGTGCTGAACTGCGCAGGTGTGGGCGGGAGCGGGTCTCCAAAAATGGACCCGTGCAGGACCCTGGTTGGAACTACAACAGGCGAGCTGATCTGTGCTGTTAAACACGTCTCTCAAACATAAAATTACCGTCACAAGCATTAATCAAAGGTTTTTCAGTTTCACTCTCACCTTTTTGATGAAACTCAAACTCCTAAACAGGACCAAGAACACTGGTCCTCTGGCATTTGACTAGGGGTGGGTATCATTAAGAAGTTGCCGATACGATACACACCTCGATACATAGGCCACGATACGATACATATCTCAATACATAAGCCTTGATATGATACATGTCTCGATACATAGGCCACGATACGACATATATCTCGATAAATAGGCCATGATATGATACATACCTCGAATTATAAGCCACGATACGATATATACATTTCGATACAGTGAGCTTTCGATTCTAAAAGTCTTTGTTAAACCACTTCTTGTGCAAAGTTCATATGAAACACAAATCATTTAATCGTCAAAACAGTGAAAATGTCAAATGTGTCGCATAAACGAGTTTCCTTCCTCTGAACAAACAACAAAATTGTAGCTCTGTAATAAAATAATTTAGTAAAATATACCAAAAAATACTCTTGGTGATATATCGATACAGCAGCCCACGATATCGACACTGTATCATCACATTAAACGATACGATATATTGATATGTTGATATTTCTGCACACCCCTAATTGACACTTGGTTCCCATATTATACTGTGACATGAATACAAAAAAAAAAAGTTTATAGTCTAGATCAGGGGTGTCAAACTCATTTTGGTCCGGGGGCCGTATCCAACCTACTTTGATCCCAAAGGGGCCGGATCAGAAAACTCATGTCATATAAACCCCAAAAATAAGTTCAAATATTTGTGCAGAGAAATGCAAATCACAGAAATCTTTTTTAACTGATGAACTCTTTCTTATTATAATATTATGAACAACCTGAAACTTTAAGAAAAA